TCCCCGCTACACTGAGCGCCTGCTTCCGCAGCCTCTGCTCTGGCCTGAACATATAGTATTTATTGAAGCTGGGGTTCACTGAAGAGGTATGAGGTTTGTTGCTGGACAGCAAAAAAAAAAATATAGTACCGTCTTAAAACATCTAAGATCAACTACTGAGCATCCCAGACAAAAAAAAGAAAAATGTAAACGTCCAGAATTCAGAAGAATGTTCCTGAGATGTACAGATACATTAGGGTTGACTTTTCTATTGTTCACACTGATTTGTTAAAAGCTAAACTCACAGTGTACTAACCTCTGTGCCTTACCACCAGGTTAAAGTAGGTTACTGTCATATTTCTGATTTAAAAAAAGTCGAATATTTTGGGTCCACGATCTGATTTCATCTGTAAGCTACTCGATCGCCCCTTGCTTCTACTGGTTTGATGACGTCTGATAACTGCCAACCCTCTTATTATCAAGCAATTACTTGCTTATTGCTTATTTCCCTTTTGCTTTTTAGCTTTGTGACTTAAGGTACGCCGGAAGGGTGCAGAACTCACACTCACAAGTCACATTTAGGCTGCCACGATATGAGGCTCTTGTATGTACAGTATAGGATGGGAATGGAAAGCAGTTTTCTGAAATGCAGGAAAAGGGTTGGCTGTTTTTTCGTGCTGTAGAAGTGTCTTCAGTTGTGATGACAAAAAAAGAAACTGTTTAATGTGAACGGAGATGATGCCGAGAGATATTTTTTAAAGTGTTTTTTTTTTTTAAGGAACTGGAAGGTCATAAATGAATTAAAAGGTCCGTTGGTTTTTTTTACTGTTCCAGCTGAAAATGAATCCGCTTTCCAAGTGCGGCAGGAGATATACTGGTCCCGTTAGAAAGATCCTCTCCCTTTCAGCGCTGAATTTCCCTGTCTCGCGCAGCTTATTTTCTACTATCCACGAGCATCCTGTATTTGAATACAATTGATGTGGTTTTACGAGAACTCTTACAACAAACACTTGGAGACTGCAGGGCAGTTGTAATTTATTTACCCAGGGGCCAGCTGTAGGTACTGGAAATTGACAAGGTGTCTGCTGATGGCTCAGGACACTATGCATGTGATGACAACATTTCAGTTAACTTTCATTTACTTTACTACACAGTACCTTCTAGATTTTCGTGTTACTTTATTACGTTGATTATTACAGAATATCTTTTGTTGTTGTTGTTGTTGTTGTATTCATTTGTTACATCACTGTTAAACAAATGGAATGAGGAAGAAAGGGGGTTGCATGCATATCTTCTCTGCCAACGTTGTTCTCCGTGGTACACAGGCATACAACTCTTCCATGTCTAAACTGTATATAAAGTCTGCTTTCTCACAGGTGACGATGTCAGTTTGTATTACAAGCGTATGGGTTTTGGAGCAATATCCCACTAAACTATTAGGATGGCGTAGTTACAGGTGCATTTATATTAAACCTATGTATTAAGTAGCTCTTTGTACCCGTGTTTATTTCTTATGCATCAGGATGACTGTCTAGAAGCTTTTATAGGAGGGAAACAACTTTTGTACTCCAACAAAGCTTAAACATAAGATACTGGAATGCTGAAATTCTTAGTTACTACAGTATGTTACATGTATTAACAGCAGTACTTCAGGAATTGTGGAAAGATGTACGTAACATGTTTTCATGAAATAAAAGATTTTACACAGTACTAATAAAGATAAACTTCCAACAAAAAATCCTCCCTCGAGTGCCGTCTTTTAGAAATGTGCTCCTGTCTTGGGAGTGAAGACGCGTGTCCTCGCTCAGCACAGATGTTTGCATTCTTCAGAGTCCTTCAGCATCTGCATTGCCAATCTTACATTTCATCAGCCTCCTTGCAAGCAGCACGCACCCTCTGATGCATGAAGATCCATAACTCTCGACTTTTCTGGACACTCCGTGACAGGAAAGAGGGGATGTTCAAAAGCAGAGTGCGCAGAAGTCCTGGCTCTTCATTATTATTGCAGACATTGCAGCTCCTGTGAAGAAGCGTGGGGTTGTACTCAACCTTTCTTCTCACTTCCATATAGTAGAATCATGAATGGCTGCTGCAGGGATATTCCCTTTCGTCTCGAATATCTACTGTCCTTCCGGTCTGATTCAAGCAAGCACAGAAGAGACCCAGTGGCCACCTTCGCACAGCAGCCACGGCGATCATCATCTCTGCCTTCTCACTCCTGCAGTATCTGTGGGTTCGAAGTCTATATTTAATCAAGAGTTTCCTCTTCTCCTCCCTCTTCCTCCTGCTTGGCTCTGCTGTCATGGGAGCAGAGCTGCTCTGGCACGACAGCTTTACTGCCAGCTGTGCTTTGGACATTGCATTTCATTATATAACCCTTTCTACAATCAAAATAAATCCGATTGCAGATTTCCCTCATAGCAATGGTCCAAAAACCCCGATACTCCTGAGAACTGTGAGACCATGCAGGGATTATTAGAATTTATGTAAGTAACTACAGCCACTACAGAATTTCAGTGAAGTCATTCTGTCAGCTGAAGTAGATGGTAAATAATCCATCTATTTTCTAACTGATTCTTCCAATTCAGGGAAGCTGGGGAGCCAGGGGCTATCTTGGCAAGCAATGGGTGTAAAGCAGGGTACATCTCAGACCGGACACCAGCCCGAACACAGACACGCACGAACGCCAATGGCCAATTTTCCCAAACGCCAGTTAACCTACTAGTGTGTCTTTGGATTCTGGGAGGAAACCAGAGCACCCGGAGGAAACTCACACGAACAAGGGGACCACATACAAACCGCAAGCAGATAGCACTGCAGGAATTGAACCCAGGGCCTCAGTGCTGCACCACCGTACTGCCCATTGTAAATAATGAAATGACAAAATCATTATAATGAATGTTGCATGACCAGGGGTCAAATGCAAAACCATATTTTATCAGCGTAAAAAAAAAAAATAAAGCAACGTAAATTATAGGCCCTTATTTTTAATTCCTCCATCATATTTCTAAAAGAAAATGGATGATATTTTTACTATGGCTGCTTACAGTAATCGGTTATTACACAAAAATGGAAACATTACCAAAACAGTGGCGGCTGTATAATTATGCCCCGGCTCCGATTTTCCCATGCTTTTCTGAATTTGGGGGATGTAGGCGCTCAGCTGACGTTGTTCCAGCACCAGGAGAAAGGAATGTAAAGCAGATGAGGGTTGTTTTTTTGTCACAAGCTTTTCAGCGGGCTTCCATAAGCACCGGTGAGGTGCGCGTGCTTGCACACTCGGAGCGCAGAAACACGGACGAGGGGCCCGCTGTCCGGACAAGGCAATCAGCGTCACCCTGGCTGATGGCCGTTCTCAAAGTGTGCAGCAAAGAGGAGCAAAGTTCCAGTTCCCATGGACAGACAAGCCTCCTCGCCAATCGTTCATGGTGTCGCTGAACTGCACATGCCAGGAGAAGCTGCACATAAAAACTGTCCCGTTTGTTTGAGTATTCCTTGACGAGGGGAGGAAACGGACAGAGTATAGAAATAGCATAAGGTATGGTCAACCCTGCAAAAGCGTCCTGCAGAAATCACAGATTTCAACAAAGGATCACGATTGATATTAAAGCTACATAATAAGAGGAATTCTTCCACTATTAAGCTGCATTACATAATAGCCGATGAGCCCAAGTGGAGTGCTCAGTAAGGCGTAGCGTGGGCATTACATTTTCTTTCCCAAGCAATTCCCTTGTTTTTATCTCCATTTAACCAATCCTAGTCCAAAATAATTCTTCAGGACTTGTTAGTTATTTCAAATGGTCACACACTGTTAAGCAAACTATAAGAATATGCAATACGATTACACTTGGTTAAAACGTCTTAACCAAGCATCAGATGTCAAGGTCAGTATAGAACGTGGTTCTGTTTTCAAGCACACTCCTGTGCGATGTATTCTCGCTTCACAGCCACAGTGGAACACGAAGATCCCCTCCCCCAGTAGAACATTTAGTTGTTTTTGTCTGTCTTTCTGGATTATCATTTATTACTGTCATATCTGTTAAATGTTTTCGTACCATCAGCTTCACTATAGATTTCTGGAAGTGTATGTTATCTTTGTGTCAGCCTCTGCAATTATCAAATTCATATTGCAGGCTTTGACGTGACTGATTGACTTTTTTTTTGCAGGGGTCACAAAAAATATTCCTCAGCCTTGTAAAACGTCCCTAATTCCAGCAGTCACTTCTGTCTGTGCTTTTCAGAGGATGTCTGGGAAGCTGGGGTTTGCGATGTGTCGCTCAGCTAGCTCTGCAGTCAATGCAAACACAAAATGGGATTAACAGGAAGACACTTGCATCTAAAGATTAAAAAAAAAAACTCTCCTCAAAAAGCTTACAGTTTTTTTCTTGCTTTCACATTTTTCATGATTTGCAGCCTTTGATCTCCTATGTGGACTTCAGGCATCTAGATCTTAACAATTGTAATAAAATTCGATATTTAATGTCCCCTTAATTGTGCCGCACTTCTCCACAATTTTTCCATTATGAATCTAGAGCTCTTTCCCTTATCAGGATAAATTTAAATATCCTGTATCCATAATATCCATAAATAAATTGGTTTAGCTTAATACGGTGTGAACCAATGGTTGAAAAAATATCTGTTCTATTTGAAGCCTTTTGACCAACAGAATAGGATTACTAAATCATGCTTTTCTGTGTCTAAGGATGCCTAAACATAAGAGAAGAAAGTCCAACTGCAGGATGCTCATATTGGTGCCATTCATTTAGGTACATGTGGCACCAACAGCACCGAGGAGCAGAGAGGAGTCTGAGAGCCCTGCAGCAGACAGCCACACAGGCTGCGCACTATTCAGCCACTTCAGTTTCCCAATTGAGCTCTGGCGCAAATCTGGACAAAGCAGTGGGAGATGACACAAAGTAAGATAATCCTAATGAATACGTCACCAATAATCATAGTTGGCAGTTTTCACAGAAAATGGTAAACGCACCATTTTACAGAATGTCTACAAAGATTTGACTATGGTAATACTGATGGTTCCTTTTTCCTATTCTTGAAGTCGAGAGGTGTTTCGGCATTCTTATTAAGGGCTAAGTAACTAAAAAACATTTGATTCGTAAGGGTTTCATTAACTTCTGTTGAGGCTGGGGGTTTATTATCAAGTGCTTCTTTGCAGAAGAATAGTCTAAGGACCCTATGAATCTGTGCTGGAATTTGTAGTTATGGTTTTTAACGGGAATCCTGCTTCTTCGTGCCAAACTAAACAGAGGATAACTTAGCCAAAATCGTCAATAAAATCTTAATAGTTTCTTTTATAAAAGCAAGACATGGGGAACACACAGAGGATAACCTAGGGTTTTGGCTGTGCTGACAGACTGAAGAAGACAGAGAGTCTGACTCAGGATTAAGATCTTCTGAATGGGCAAATACAACTGTTACTAAGTTATTTGACTGCCTCTTTATCCAAAGAGACATACATTTCCTCCCATTTCTAGAGCTGGGTAGTTAACTAGAACAATTCCAGTGAGGTACCTTTCTCAAGGGCACAATGGAAGATCTCACCTGGAATCCGAACCCACAGCCTTCCGGAAAGAATTCAGAACTGTGACATTTGACCCACAACCCTGTTCCTGCAGCAGTGCAGGACATTGCTTGTATCATCACTCAGATTAATACATAATACTCCTACTGTGGTATTGGAAAGCACTTGAGATGCTGTGCTGCAGATTGTCCAGGATGAAGCTCACTTGCTTTGCATTACCTTCCCCAATGCCTACTGACATCTCCAAGATTCTTTTAAATATTGAGAAGTTCTTTTGGACAGAACTACACTTTTGTCTTGCCTTCTGTGGAGTAGCGTTGATGAAGAACAGTGGCTCTTTTGTAAAAGCCCGCGTTCAGGGCGCATGACCGACAATCAGGGTGCTGGGTCTGGGGTCCTCGACTGGCTTACCGCTTGTGACCTCTCTAGCACATCTTCATGTACTCTGACTCAGAGGCCCGAGGCGAATTCCATTTTCAGAGACAATAACAAAAACAGCAACATCAGCAGCTGCATCAAGGAAGTGCATGGAAATAATTAGACAACACTACAGCTACACAGGAAAGGCCATTTTCTCCAAATTGAAACTTTCTTCTTTGTACTCTCTTCTTTCTTTAGTTTAGTGAATTTATTAATCATTTGCGTTTTGTAACAAAGAAGTGGGCACTACGGTTCAGTAGTTTTAGCAAGCATTATGGAATTAAAGCAGTAGTAACAACCATTACCTGATTAAAAATATAATTGAATCGCCATCGTAAAACAGTTAACAACCGCACAACAATAAACAGGTTTTTGAGATCCACACAATACCCGTGTTACAGCCCAATCACCTTACACTGGAGACACTGGAGACTTTCCTTCAGAAACAGGCCACACAGAAGAGACACCATTGGAAAAGCCAGAGCAGAGCAGGGAGCAGAACAAGAAATAGACTGAGGCTAGAATGATCGGGAACGATTTCCAGCAGGAACCTGGTTTTCCCTGAAGGCCCATGTTTCTTGGTCCTAACTAGGCCAAAGCTCAAATCTGATGACAAGATCAGCCCCTGAGGTGGCTTCAGGATAAACCTCTAGGAGCTCATCCCTTCCCTGGGGCAAACTTTTGGTCTGCGTTATCTTATGTAGAACAGTTTTTTACACGTTTGGCATTTTCCACAATCCTCTTCTACTGTATCAGAGGCACGATTCCCAGCTCCATTCAGTGGAGCGGTGGCACGATGGAGGAGTGAGACCTGCATGGACAGCCTCACATTCCCAGAATGAGCTCCACTTCTCGGCTTTCCGGAAAGATCCAGGTGCTGATCTGACCTGTCGTCATGGCAACAGGCTGGCAAATGGCAGAAGTTCACCAGGAGCAGGACATTGAAACGAATCACAATTTGTTTTTTAAAAAAGGCAACAATCCAGTGGCCACGAGAATGTATACTTACAGTACTTTCTTACATACATACATAATAGTACGACAACATATTGTGTGCCAGCTCTTAACCAGGCCAGGGCAGAATTAGTGGTGAGTGAGTTAATATCCTGTGGGAGAGAATTCTTGGTCTGTGAAGCAATGCCAGTGAGTGAGAGGGACTTTCCAACAATAATGTTCATCACCATGATACACACAGTTTAGGCAAGACTGCTGTTGATGTCCTTAGCAATGTGACTCTTCCAAAAACTTCTCTTTTCTTCACAAGAAAGTGCACCATTAGTGCATTCATGTCCACATTAATACTATTTTTTTCTTTGCCAAACCAGTGCACTAACTTGGAAGAAGCAAGAACTTGGAAACGGACGTGTCAGACTATGACACACCCAGGGGAACTGGCTGTGCTTTCAGCTTTTATGGTAGAAGGCATCTATCCTCATATTTATATAACCCAGAAATACAAAAAGTACATCCATACATCTATTGAGACGGACAAAAGTGTGTTGAATTATTTGAAATTCTCTGGAATTTGAAGCACAAGTACCACTCCTCCCTGTTAACACACTAGCCTGATTCGAAAGAGATTATTTGTGCTCCAATACTGGTGCTGCAGAGAGGTTTGACTTTCAGTCTGAACCAGCTTGAAAAAGTGCAGACTGAACACCAGTGCTGCTGGCTGGAAGGAAAAGATATTTGGCCTCAAACCAAGCAAGCTGAGAGAGAAGCATTGCAGCCGACTACTCCAGCACAGCTACAGATTAGTTCTGGATCTGATCCAGGCTCCAATTGTTCAGAAACACGAGTCCCAAAAGAGCTGCATGGACACACAGATCTGATGTGCTGCATATCCTCCTACCTCCCCTGAGCCCTTCACATGACCTTGCCATTACAGTGATGTTACGTACGGTACGTCAGGTGATCAGGGGAGCAGACGTTTGTAAAATCATCACAAAGGCAGTAGAGTTATCAACATTTTCCCAAGCTTCCACCATAAGCTTATCCTAAAAAAAGAAAATTACACATTCCAGCATTTTGACAGCAGTTTTAAACAGATGTTATCACTATTGTGGCAGTATTAGGAAGTGCTAAGGAAAATGTGTTTCTGGCAGAGTTCCATATCAGCTGCCCACAGATTACCTTATAAGCCCTCTGTTCAGCAGGTCTGAGATTGAGGGGATTGGTTCTTCTATTCTTGTCAAGGCGTTCAGTTATCCAGGCCAGAGATGTTCAGTTTACCGAGGTCATGTGGCTCTAACATTCATACTGTGCCCATGGCTTTCTGTTGACAGCTGTGACCTAAAAAATCCTTTTCTCTGCCCAAACATGGCATTTGCCATGAGTCTTCCGAGACACAACTAAAAAAAAAGAGACCTTAAGGTGTGAAAACATTTTTATATAAATGCGTGTATCAGAACTAACTCTGCTCTTTACATTTTAGTTTCTCTGCGACAGGTCTATTTTGAGAGCGCATCGAAACAAATAGTATCGATACTGCTGTGTAAAGATATATCCGAGACGCAATCAGGAGATATAAAATGTGTGAGAAGTCTTGCGAAGCCTCCACTAGTGTTTTCCACCATGATACCAGCTTTGACTTACTGATACAGTGTTGTCTGAAAGAGGAGACATGGCATTTAGCAAATTATAATTTACCCTGAACAAAATCTTAAACTTCATGACAGCAACTCACGTTAACCTGTACATGACCAGCCAATTAACTGTGGAGTCGGAGTAGCTTATCCGTCATACTTACTAATCCAACATAATTATTTCAGCTACCCGTCATCATGAATAGGATTCCTCTATTCATAAAATGGAAAGGCTTTGAACAACAAAATGCAGGCTTATCGGGATTTTTAACTGGCTAAAGTTTCATTAGATCATCACCAAAGGACTGTGTTCTTATATAAAGAAGGAAAGATGTTGCATGAAAAACACAAAATTTATGCAGAGCAGTCTTCCCAGAAGCCAGTTTCCTTTCTTCACAAAAAGAGAATTCTGACATACAACCCATTCTTTTGATGATAGAATTCCCTTATGACTTACTACAATAAATTTTCCATGTCCAATCTAAACATAAAAATTAGCTACTTTTCTACATCCCTTTAAATGAATCTTTGTCACTGCAGACTGCCCAAATCCTCAACTGGACAGAACACGTTTGGGCCCAGCTCTGTGAACAATGAACACTACTGCCTCTTGTGAAGTTCCCTCAATGAAGGCTCTTTCTTGTGAACACAGCCTTGGAGCCTGTTTGTTTAGTATATGTCTGAGGATGGAGCACAGCCCACAGTTTATGAATGTCTCATTCAGATGCTCTGAAAGCTTCTAGGAAGATCTGTGGAGGTTTTTCTTTTCTGCACAGAAAGAAGTGTGTAGCCGACAATCTCCCCCAGATGGACTAGTGACATCTGTCCCTGATGTGACACTAATACTTAAATAGCTGAAGTCCTGTTCAAAATCTTCAAGCTCTTATGAATTGTGTACTGTATATAAAATGCAAGTACAATGTCACTTCAAAGACACATGAATGTGGTAACCTAACCCACAGAAGTTAAAAATAACCAAAACCACTTAAAATAAATGGCTTACTTTTTTGACAAACGGAAGAACTGATTAATGATAAAATGTCTGAGAAGAAGGGGTATTTCCAATATGCATACATCTCGTATTCCTGTAAAACAGGAAATGGCGCACAAATTCCCCAAACATGTTTTCTCAGACGCAGGACAGACAATGTGAACGGAATAAAAAGGAGAAGATGAAACCAGGGTGGGACCGTTCGCCGTGGTAGGCACCCTGGCAGTGCCAAGCACTAATATGAAGCCCTTGCACGACAGTATGAAGACTCTTCCAGATTATTGAGTTATGTGCTTGCTACAGATCACTGCTATGGCTTAACTGGAAAGTTCCATTAATACCCTGATTCAGTCCAGGCTGTTTTGCTTGTGCATACTGCCCTCTAGAGGTAAACATTATGTCACCAGTTAATGGTGGAGATGGAAATGAACACTGCAACCCGTCCGCTCTTCAAGACTGTTGCATACAGCCACGCGCAGGTTATGAGTCTCCGGTATGCTGCTTTAACAATGGCTGCATGCTTTGGGATAACAGGCTCTTGCTTACCAAGCAAAGTTCAACCGGATTATTTCCCAAACTGTAGCTCAATAATATACCGAAGTTATGCAGCTGTAAAGTGAAAACGCCAAGCAGATAACTCTGGATGACTGGACAAAGGTTCTAAACATAAAATTTTATCCTGTTGAACAACTCATTGTCTTTCATGGAGCTGCTGGAAAAATGCGTTTCCACAAGAACCTCTGAAGTGCCTTCCAATAATGGGCCATCCTATAATAGCATTAACAGGGTGAAGCATTAACTGAGTAAAAGACCAAAAACAGACTTAAAACTAGACTGAGCTTGCCCAAGTGGGCGGCCTGTTCACCCGTCCATTGTCAAGGGCTCTTTACCCAAATTAACAGTTTTTAAAATTTACTGTACAAGATACACCAAAAAAAATCACAAAAGTGTGGCATTTTCAATTAATATCCAGAAAATCCTGCATTCTACTTTAATGATTAATAAATAATGTCCATTGCACACAATCTTTATTACAGCGAGAGGAACTCCCATCTTTAGACACACAAGTATTTTTACAAATGAAGTGTGCGACATGGACTTGGTATTGGTGAGTAACTGCATTCACACACTGCAATACTAAAGGCACTCTGTGAGTCTTCACAGCTGTTCAACAGTGGGAAAAGGGGGAAAGAAAGGGGATACTGCCCTGCATGCACTGCAACACCCACTGCAGTGGGGGCAGAGGAGTGCCCAGCAGACAAGAAGAGACCCAGGCTGGAGCTTGCCAGCTGGGAGATGACCCCGGTCAGGCTGGCACAGCACACAGGGCTAACGGAACCCAGCGGGGACCTCCAGAAAGGGCATTAAACTAGGCCCCTGGGCAGGGGTCACGCCTTCCTTTTACTCCTCTGCATCCTCTTCCCCGACTGCGCCCCCTTCCGGGCTCCTCGCACCAGCCCCTTGAACTGGCCCTGCAGCTTCGCCTTCTTCCTGCAGACACAAGAAAAACACCCCTTACAGGCTTTGGACCTGTCATGAACAACCCGAGACTGCCCGAGTTGTGCCAACTGAAGACATGCCCTGCCAGCCTCCCGCGCCCTGCTCTGGCAGCTCTCTCCCATACCTGCGGTTCAGCTGCGCTTTCTTCAGAGGGATGTAGGTGTAGGGATCGTGCCTGCCTTTCTTCTTCACGTCACCTTTACCACTCTGAAACACAAAACCACCGAGGCGATTTCTGCATTGATATAGGAGGAGGAGGGCGTGAAAACACTTTCGTTTAATAACAGCCGAAGGAAAACCACATCTTATATTAAAGATCAAAGGGCGACTGAAGTCGACTCCCACATGCCACAAAGTCATTTTTTTCCCCCCCAAGACACAAAAACCGTAAATGCACATTGAAAATACACTATTCCACTGAAAAGTCAAACACATCTTTAACATGTGCACAAACCTCCAAGTGAAGCTGCGTGCTTGTTCTGGGTTTTCTGGTAAATTGTATGAGTTCTGAGCTTTTTATTTTATTTGTTTTTACTTTTTAATTGGACTGGATGTTAATTTATTATGCAAGAGGATGTGGTGGTCTTCTGGGGGAAATGTGCGAGGGCGGTATATGAGTAACGGACAGGGAAAGTGGTCTCACCTTGGATTTGTACTCTTTGCCAAATTCCTCTTTCCCAGACAGTGGTCTATGGATCCCTGAGCCACCAGCTACAGGACAAAAAAAATGGCAAATTAACTCAAAGACATGACTCGTACAGGAAAGGAAAGAAACCTGAAAGGTCTGGGTTGAACCCCACCTACAAAACACTGCTGTGCTCTTTATGTGTTCCTTTCCAAAGACTTCTGAAAACCAGCTCCTCTTATGGTGGGAAAAAAAAACTTTATCTAGCTTGCTAATTAGCTTTTTCATTAATGTCATTTCTACTATTTATTTTGCAAATAACACGTTAATGCTTAGCAGAAAAAAGATTTAGAGTGAAGAAATGTGCCCGACATCAGAGCAGTCAGAAAGGTACAAAAACACAGCAGAAGTGACCCATTCTGTCTTCGGGCCCCACTGAGTCTGCCTGTCCACCTGAACAACTTCAGTACCTTTGTACTGCAACTGTGGCTCCAACTCCATATCTTCGTCAAAGTCATCACGTTGAAACTTTCTCTTCTGAGCTTTTTTCTGTCCAGAAAAAGGGAAACAAAAAACATCTCGTCAGTAAGTGGTAAACACTTCCCGCGAGAACGGCTACAAACGAGAGGAGGCCGTTTGGCCCACCCATCCCGTTGGGTGGATTTCCCACTGTGCTCCTCGATGTCCAAACCTCAGTGTGTGAAATACAAGGCTGGGACTCCCAGAGCCCGGCTGAAAAAGGCCCTGCTACCACCTGGTATGGCCTCTCCAGTACAGGTCCCGTCCCTGTCCCGCTGCAAGCAGGTTTTTCCCAAGTGGCAATGCCCATCGCTCGGGTCGGGACTGGGGTTAAGGGCTCAAGTTACTCGTGAACCCTGTGCTTCTCCAACTGGTGCCAACCTGGAGCTGGCAATGTATCATGAGAGGAATGGCTTGATGGGTGAGCACCCACTGACGGCAGGGCAGGAGATGTGGTCTGGCACTCCTCGTTCTCCCCGTATGGTACAGGAGTCGCTGCCGGTCTCCAACCGGATGGGCAAGACGTAAAACCATACAACAAACTGTCCGACTGCAGTAAACCCTCTTACTTTCTCAGTAAAGTTGAAATAAACCTTTCAAGTTCTATCCTCTGAGAGGGTGCTTTGCCAGGACTAGTTCACATTACTTTTTCTTATTTTATCTCACATTAAATGACCATCCCTCATCAAGTAAAATAAGCAAAAAATATCAGCTATACTCACACTTTTGACTCCTGCTTCCTCTAGAACATCATCCATTTCCTTGTTTTCACCTGAAAGATGAACGGAAATCAGTACAGGATGACCTGGCAGACACTAACACAGTACCATACTCTTGTTCAAACTTGATTATCGCCCGAGTCCCACACAACGACACAACCCCAACCAACAAGGAAGTCAGGCCACACGACATTTCAGAAATGGACAATTTAACGAAATCATTATTTACATAATTCAGAAATGAAATTTCAGAGGGGATGAACACTTTCCTACACCAGCTTCCCTGACCCATCACCATGGGGGCACAGAGGCGTCTCCCAAACGGCAGTGGTTCAGATTCACAGTGGAGGGGGTTCCCCACAAACTGTACTATGCCGTTGTTCTTCTTTAGAACATTCTGCTTCTAACAGAGGGATTTAGAGGGAGGCGATTACTATAAATGATCCTGCTAATCATTATACCCTTACTGCTAATGATAACTATTTTCCCAAGCCTATTAAAATTTTGCACTGCTGATGTAACCAAACCAACAGGTTAAGCAGTACATTAAGACATTCTTTCAATAAAATATTTACAGACATGTGTTAAAATAGTACTGTCCGCCTTCAAGAAGCTAAATTTCTTTACAAAAAAGGTGTCAGTCTTTTAAGTAATTTGCTACACAAAACTTTCCCTATTTCCTTTCTATCACCTTTGTTTAATACTTGTAATCATCAACAATCTCCACAGTCTGGACTATTTACAGTGGGTTGGAGGGGTAGTACAATGAGGAGATCTTTAGCTTCAAAAATAACTCCCAAGAAAACTTATAACACCATTCAGAAAAAAAAAACATTTTTTCGTAATGATATTCTGATACCCTTAACAAGCTGACAAAGGCTGCATTGTCAAAAAAAAAAACTTGTCTGTAAGAGTTTGCTGTATCTTACAATCATTAGTAAATATACTATAAAAGAAGACAAGTTTTAGCCCTATGGGAATCCAACAACAATAACCTTTTCCCCACTTTTAACTGTAGAGACAAAAAATAGACAAAAAAAATAAAACCCCTCCAATTAATTTTCAAATAAATGTTACATCTTTGAGAGTGTCTGTGTCAGTACGAGCTGAAAGCAGAGGGAAAGAAAAATAAACAAAGTGACTCTTCTTGGTCAAGGTGTTTATGAACTGTGTAACAACGTGAGTATTTCATCGTCCACTCCTCCTTACCTTTAACATCTTTGTCCTCGTCTCCATCTTCTCTGATAATCAGCCTGCCGTCCGACGTCACTTTGAAGCCATGCTGGACCTTCAATCTCTTCTTCACGTCCGGGTTTGTAGCTATAGTGGTGATCATAGAGCCATAATGGAAAAAAATGAATTTCTCACATTGTGTTCCCTTATAACAGTAACCCTGAACTTTCCAAGAGTGAAACACCTTTCTCACAAATACAACTGGAACATGTAGAAAGATGCGGTGTGCCCAGCTTCTTAAGGACATGCAAACAGCCCGGGATTACTGGTTTGATCTAGTTTTATTGGCTTTTGGTCAATGGTGAAGACTCTGTTTTCTGCATTTATCTTACAGAACGCTCGTTTACAATGAGCACCCAATAAAGTGTGAAGTGTGAAGACCAGCTACTGTGCAAGAAGCACTTACCGAGCACTCTCTGGGAGACTTGGGGATCGAGGAAGTTGAGGGGCTCATCAGACTCCCCCTCTTTCAGCCAGGCCCGACCCTTCTTTCGCAGGGCTTTCTTCCCACCTCGCTCCGGCTTCGTGTCCTCATCCTCCGACTCCGAATCCGCCAGGATCTCCTCAATACTGCAGAAACCAAGAGTCAAGAGTCAGCTGCCAGGATGAAGTCTTCAGAATGTCACCTCTTCAGCAGCTTCTGCCGTGAAACCTCCTAAACCACATCAGGCATTAAACACACCTGACACTGCCAAAAGGCACAAGACTGACTTGCCGACCGACACTTCTGTCTTGCCCGAGATAGCGAGGGACTTGGACGAAGTACAAAGGCACGTCTCTGTATTTGGCAAGCTTATTTGAAAAGGTTTTCTCAAGAGTCACCAAAAACCAATCAATGAGAATCTACATAAAAAAAATCAATTGAAATTCTAATCTTTCACTTTCTTTTGGCCCGATAACGAGTTGGGCTATCAAAATCATTTTGGGGATGCCCCCACCCCCCCCAACTCTCATTAATTTGCAAAGCCCTTGGATTGAGGGGCTCGGCCGTACCTGTCTCCCTTGACCTTGGGGGTCTCCTCCTCACTCTCCGAGCCAGCTTTATCTGCCTGCTGCAGGAGCTTGCGCCTCTTGTTCCTGGCCTCTGTTTTGCGGATGTTCCCCAGTACCTTTTGATGCTCCTCCGGCACCATGCTCTTCACAAGTTCAAACCTGCAGACAGAAACGGGCTCCTTCAGGACAGCAAACAGCATCATCCCCCTTAGAGGCCTTATTTACAAAACTGGCTGAAGCAACAAGACCATCCTCAAAATGGAAACATGATCATTAAATCGCTCCAGTAGGCAACTTACATCTCTTCTTAGAAGAATGGAGTACAATATTCAGATGAGCAATTAAACATAAAAGAATCAGTAAATTATCAACATGTTACATAGATAACAAATAAGTTATCGCCTTACCCAAACTTTCGGATGAATTTAGTGAAAATGTTCTTCAGCTTATTCCTGAAATGCCTCCGGACATCATCTTTAATGTTTCCAATCCCTTCCATCTTAAAAAAAGGCCAAAAACATCAACAGATCATTCCTGACCGTTGTGCACCTTCTCCAAAAACCCAAAATTAAATTCAACGGCGAGTGCCACAGCCCTGATCACTGCAGAGGTGCTGCCAAAGGTCTATCTAAAAATATCCAACATCTGTTCATGCTGGCCCAAACCTCAGCTAGTGTAAGTGACTTGACTAGTGAGTGTCCTGGAGATTTCTACACTCTGTCCACCACCTCTCACTCACCATCACGGTCACATGGCCGGCCAGGACTTTGGGGTCCATGATGAAGAGGATGACCTTGATGAAGCCCAGAGCCGCCTTCACCACCTCGCGTGTCCTGGAGCTGAGGAGGAGGCACACGTTCTGCAGCAGCTGCTCCATGACCGACACGTCCATGTGATCTACAGGGAGAGGACGATAATGCTCACATCAGCCCAATAATTAAACAATTCTCTCTCGCACAGTCTCACTTTCGCCACGCGTTCTGTTCTGTTTAAGGCTTTCACACACAGAATTATGACATTTAAAACTAACATTCTTGGGACTTTATCATTTCTGTCATACATCATGAGCTGGGACAAACGGGTAATGGACACAGGATAAAGTCTGATTTGTTGAATCAGGCATTTGCCGTCAGTAAAATGCGTGGCAGGAAAGCCTGCCGAGAATGGCGTCGTTACCTTTAAACTCAAAGACCAGCCTGGTCAGCGCAAGCACGGTACAAGCAATCATGGTGACCGAGCCAGTGAGTCCGGCATAGACCATCCCCAGATACTGCTCCATGGCCTCTGGAACACAGACCAGCCAAAACACAGTTCACACAGCTGCTCCTTCTCCTAACAGCCATCACTGGGAATATTATTAGCTCCATTTCCTGAAACGGCTATCACACTCCAAATTGCTCCCTAGCTCCACTCATATTCTAGCACTTATGTTAAATCTTTATGAGTCCTTTACTGTAAAAATAAAGTTCAAGCATATACACTCAAGCACTCGTTATTCATCCAGATGCTAAAACAGCGGTTATCGGTACAAATCAGGTTAAACATGAGACGGTCAAGGTGAAAGAAAATGATCATTGAAAACTGCAAACTAGGTACAAGCTCTGAACACTCATCCACAGAGGAGCACTCGCACACACAGGTCCTCCAGACTTACCATTTGCACTGTCACAGAAACGAATATACGCCTGACCGATTTCCACCAGCAAGGTATATGCATTCCTGCGTGCTCCCACAGACACCTCTTTGGTGCAGATTATTACCTAAGGCAGAAAACACGTCACGACAAAACAGTCACTTGGACAAATACAAAGTGGAGAGATTACAAAGTGAGCTCCGACTGTTTCAGTTTTTAAGCCTTCTCTGTGAAAACACAGCTCTTGAAAATCCTCCAAATGTGAATTTGAGGGAAGAGACTGACAGCCAGCGGGGAAAGAAGTGTCCCACGCGCGCCGCGCTCAGCGAGATGAGGCGGAAGCCATCAGCAGGCCGTCTGCCGTTACCTCTGGAAGCAGAGCTGCGATGAAGTCGCCGTGTTCCAGATTCAGCTGCTTCACAACGTGGATCAGACACTTCAGTCTGGGCTGCAGGAGGCAGGGGCAACACGGTTAGGTTGGTGCTCGCACCTGGCGGCAGAGAAGAGCAGCGCGCTTTGGCGAGGGGAGGGGGAGGGGGGGGCTCACCCGTTTGGCCGGCGAGGAGGCGCTCTTCAGGGACCCCAACAGCGTCTGCTTCAGCTGCTCCAGGTTGGTCAGGACAAACCGCCGGCAGGACTCCCTCTCCCCTCCGCACATCTCTTCCAGGACACGGTAAGCTTTCTTCTGCACTCCAGGATCCTTACTCTACACACAGGGAGAGCACTCGGTCAACAGGCAGCACGCCTGGAACACTCCTGTCCATAGCCTCCGTACGCCCTAACACTCACATTCACCACCTTCCCTGACACAGCACAGTGAAGTCAATACTTCATTCAAAAATCTTTACACTAAAAATCATTCTGTTCTGAACATACAGGTGTTTAACCATGTCACACTGTACTTAAAATACTCCAGTGGAAGAGAAATGAAGCTTCACCTCCAAACAGGGTCTTATGATCTCGTAGGTTTGGCTCATTGTGGCCTCGTCCACACAGGGGGCCATGACCACGATCAAGTCCATCACAGAGAGCCTGCAGAAAGAGGAGCAGATCACACATAAGGCACAGGTCACCAACAGGGCGCTAACACCAAAGACACATTCAGCATGCAAACATGGAACTGAGAGTAGCACCGTCTGCCTGTTAGAAACACAGACAAATCGCCAGTGTAGGCGGTGATTTTCATGAAGTGGAGCTCATTTACATTTAATATTAACCAAGAGAAAGAGGGCAGTTCAAGGAATAGTTCTGAAACAACGCCTGTTTGACTTAACTACTGAAGAATTTCACATTGACAATCAGAAGAAACTTAATCTCACCTGGTGAACTCAGTGCACTCTGGAGTATTCAGTTTCTCTACGGCTTTCTGAAGGAAGGTACAAACCAGCTGTGGAAAGAGAGGTCAGAGGATCACATTCGAAAGGCACAATGCATACCACACAAATAGACAAGACACGAAAGATGGAGGCTCTCAGCACGTCTTGCTTGTCATAATTGACCATTGTGTGAACAAAGATAAACAGGAGTTTTGCACTCCTCCATCCTGCCAGCAGTACAAGGAGTGGAATAAACACTCATACTCAGAAGGCCCAGGCACAGCTCACCTGCTGGTCCGTGACGGTCAGGTAGACCTTGATGGTGTCCAACATGGGCATCCTCAGGGGGGTGCTCTCCCCGGCAACAGGCTGCTGGCTGTACACGTTGAACAGGATGGGCAGGAAATTCTTCGCAAAGCGGCCGACTTCGGCACGGTCCTCTTCTTCAGGGGGAAAAAAAAGTTAAAACTGTGAATATTCAATGCGCCTGAACTATGTTAAGGTAATATACATACCAAAGCAATTATATTTAAAAAAAAAAACTTTTTTGGACTGGGCAAAATTTGAATTCTCAACACCTAACTCTATTTTCATTAAGGACAAACTGTTCATTCCTTAATAAATGAATTAGACAGGCAATGCTCTTAAGTTTGTAGATGGGGAAAAATTGTACCGGCGTCTCTTCAGTTTCTCAACATCAACAAAAATTGATGTGACCTGCAAATAAACTATTTACTAAGTCTGTCAAACAACACTGTCTGGCTATTGACGGTTGTTTTTCACAAGTAGGACCCTATCCCAGCGCTCCCTGCCCACCCTGCACCCCTGACCTTTTTCACAGCTCTTGTTGATAAGCGTTCGGAGGGCCTGGCAGATGGTCGGCCTCAGGTCGGGTCTCTCGCTGATGGCCATGCCCAGAGTCCGTGCGATGCCCTTAAAGGAGCTGGTCAGGTCAGTGGGGTGTGTGCAGAATCCAGGCAGCATGGTCCAGATCTGTCACGGAACAGGAACACCGGAGATCAAAAACTGGGGAAAACTCACAAAAAGAGGGTTAAAGAGGAGCATTTTTTAGTGGCAAACTAGAATATTTCCAGTAAGAATAGACTTGGTCCCCCATTTCACCCTGTTACTGTTTCTCAAATGGGGCCAAGACACAGGTAGTTACTAGTGTAGGAAAACATAAATGGCTCAAAGGCAAAATACAAAAGAACTGCAGATATGGCACCACAGCAATGATACTTTGCACACTGAAGATGTTTTTTTATTAACAAAGACCGAAAACAGAAAAGGTGTTTGTGCCAAATCTATTTTTTACTCAGATAATGACTGTTTTGATTAAGCAGATTAGATACTTGGTCTTCAGCGCTCATGCTGAATTACAATGATTCATCAAACCACCTCTTACCTGCAGCTGGAGAGTCTGGTACACCCTGGATTCCAGCTTCCGTCCAGCCTGATCCAACTCGTCCGCTGAAACAAACACACAGGGCTTGCACAGGCTGGGAGCCACCACAGGGCTATGTTGCGTCTTCCCAAAGGCCTCAATAATTCTGCTCGCGTAATGCTTTGGAATCTACGCTGGATGTAATAAACATTATGGTTCACCAAACGACACACTATGCAATTACAGGTCTCGGAATTTACTGAGTACAGCAGCTTCACGGCAGCACGCGCCCAAGCCTGTAGGCCTGGTTATTTTTGCAGCCCGCAAGTAACAAAAAACGAAACGACTTCAATTAATGAGAAAAACGACTTCTCTTTAACTTCCACAGTTGCATTACGCCGGTAAAAAGTCTTACCTCTTTGTTTGAAAGTGGCAGCCAATGGTAGGAAGTAGGAACTGAAGAAAGCCAGTTCAGTGTTTCTGACGTGATCCCTGATCACGGGGATCAACCAGCTGCGAGGAAACTCCAGATCATCGCTAAAACACACCACGGGTTTAGTGATTATGGGCTACATTTTTTTATACTTAATATTCATGGTTTCACAGGGTATAAGAAACTAACATAACTCAAGGCTTTTAAACAGAAAACAGGGCTATTTATCAGTAGAAGATATGAAGGCAATGCAGGGACTTGCAAGACAGAGGGAACAACGAAGGGAAAAGAGCTGCAGCCCTTCGCCGCGATCCTGCCAGCTGTTTGCCACGATGTCGCCACAAGTAAAAGGTTTTGCAGTGCGGTTCAGCTGCCACAGTGGCGAAAACATTAACACCCTGTGTAAGTCGGCACGATTTCTATTCAATGCAGACGGATCGTTTCTGTCCATCTTACTCTGCCCCGCAAAATCAATCTAGCCTGCTGACATACCCACGGCACTGATACAATTATCAACTGATTAACACACAAACACCCACACTGGGGCAGCTCTGAACTGATGGGAGGACGTGCAAACGGTCATGAAGAAGAAAGAGTGGATGGAGAATTAAGTTTAGCAGCTAATATGTATGAAATAAGAGAGACCTTATATCAGTGATCTTCTGAAGCTCCGTTTCTTCAAGTCATCTGCTTTTCATTCTGTTGCTGGCATGCTACCCATGCTAATGCTCTTTTTTTTTTTAAACAGCTTTGCAGAATTTAAAAAAAAACCATGACCCTGTGATAATCACCATCACGATGTACTGTTTTACACAAAGACACCTGTTGTTCCTGCTCTATTGGACTGCTACTTGCTGGCGATCGTGATGTGCTGCTCTCAAGAGTTTCTCAGGACATTCCGCTGCTTTCGATGCCCTCTTTAAAATATCTTTTGTTATG